CTGCAATAACAGTCTGATTGTGAGTCTGATTGCACTCTATCTCTTCCTCTTTCTTATAACTCAGTGAATTAGGGAATTTTCCATCAGCCACTTATCAGTGCTGTTGGGTACAATTCAAAAGTGTTGACTGCAACCTAATAGAACCACACAGTTTTCAGGACCACCTGTCTCCAGTTACTTCTACTAATCTAATACAATGGACAGATATATGCCATGGCCCATCACTCAAATAACATCACATGACAGTAATCAGAAGACATGTTTTTTCCATTGCTGTGTTTACTGGAGCACAAAAGTTTTGCCTCCAAGACATGAACAGTTCCAATCCCCTCTGCCTTTTGAGAATTTGTTCTTCTACCTAGTCACAGAATCAGGAGATTTTGTTGGTTTTTCTGATGGTTTGAGATTGTCTGTAGTTATCCTTATATAGAGTCAAGGAAAATGACCTTGACAGTGATATTGAAGATCTGTAACCTGGGATATAATGGGTGACAAATATTTTAAATTTGCCACAAACAGATCTCTTTCTTGAGGGCCATTCTTTGTCAGCCGCTCCAGAGGCTCCACCCCCACCTTCATATTACCAAAGTTCTTTATAGTTGCCAACAGTTCAGCACAGATATGGAAGGACTTACAAATACTTACAATGGAAAAATTGAGGGAAAAGTTAATGGAATTGGCTGAGATGGGAAAGCTGACTACTCTGATTAAAGATTTTTGCTAACTTTATTGCTACTTGGAAATTACTATTTTCTAGAAAGTGCTTTCTAGAAACAAAGAAATGAAAATTTTAGGATTTGACAATTAGAACTACTTATGATTATAGAAAACTATTTGATATTGTTGATTTTAAAAAGATTAATGTATTTTATATCTGTATCTGTACCAAAGGAAGTTGGAAGTTATTTTTCCCCCTTTTCTTCTTTTTCTTTCCCCTTGTCTTTTCTTTAATTTTCCATTTTCCTACCCCCTTTTCTTTTGGTTTTTTTTTGTGTATTTTATTTTTTGCTGAAATTTAATGTATTTATAAATACTTGCCAACAGTTTAAGAAATTCTATTCCTTCCACAATCTTTATCTTCAACCCTGACTCTCAAACATACTCAGCCATTCAGACTCTAAAGCCCATCCCAAACATCTATCTTATCCTGTTTCAGATTTTAAACTAACATAGTTATTTTATTACATCTTTTTGCACCTAATAATATTTTGTTCAAGGCTGAATCGATAAGACTTTTCTCAGAAAGAAAGCTTACCTGTTTAGTTTTGCTTTCAACAGGATCATACAGAAAAAAATGCAGAATCCAGTCCAAGGTTCAGAGAGCCAAGCTAGATTCATCAGCATCTAAAGGTCAGGTATTTTTTTTACATGAGCAGAATACATCAGAACAGAAAATCAGAGAGTTATTTCCAACATAGAAACGTGCATTAGGCCTGCCTTTTAAATCAGGCTGCAGCTGGCAATCTTTAATTAAGATTGTTGCTTCCTTGCTTGGAAAGGAGCCTCACTGATCATCTTTGTTCTGCTCTCTGCTCTCCTTGTCAAGTCCAAGGGCTTGCAATCGTCTGACTGCTCCAGCTGCTCATGTTTGATCAACCTCAGATGATTCCTGGTTGGGTGTTCCCAGAGCATTCCACTGGTTTGGTTGGAATAGCTTCTTCAGAGTATGAACAGTATGACCCATTTTGCCTTAGCATCATTTCTTCCATGGAAAATGAATAATGGAAAAATAAGGAAACAAAGTATATATATTCCTTAATGAAGCAACCATTTAGTTTATTTATCCTTGTTCATAGATTTTACTTCTAAAACTGCTGTCCCCCAAGCTTATACTAGCCTGGCTCAGTTTTATTTTTTTGAATGAAGTAATTTATCTAAGAAATAAACTGAGATTTAACGCCAGATTCAATTAAGGCCTCATGTGGAGCAACGTTATTATTTAATCCACTAATATAATTTTTAAAGAAGACATAGCATAATTTCAATTTTGGCTTAAGTGCCAAATTTTTCCCAACAGAGCTGATTCTTTTGTTAGTTTTAGATTAATTCCAATGTGCATGACATCCAATAGTACTAAAAAAAAACACAGTCTCTCTCTTGATCAGTTACTGTTTTTAAAATATAAACAAGCCTCCCAAATGATTAAGACTTACTTGATAGTGAACAACAGAAAATTTGGTTAATTTCTCATTATATGTAGAATACCTTAAATGGAAACAAAATAGATATTTAATTACATTTATATCTCCTGTTCAACTGAGATTTTTTAAAAGCCAGATATGGTGTTTTATCAATAGCAGTTCTGAGTGCTATAATATAAAATATGAAAACCACAAAGTACAAGAAGTGAATGTTAACTGCAATAATGGCGCCATCTCAGGGTTTCATCGATCGCATGAGACCACTAAGCCTGATGACACCCAAGTCTTGAGGAATCTTTGCAACATTAACAGGGAGGGTACTAACTCATTTTGGGGGGAAAATATTTCATAAGTGGGTGCCACAGCAGAGATGGCCTGCCTCCTGGTATCTGCTCAAGGTAGTCCCCTAGGCGTCAGGATGTGCAGCATGCCACCTCTACCAGATCTAATGGGACAGGAAGATATAATCTGGAAGAGATGGTCCCTCAGATCAGCCCCATGCCATGAATGACTTTAAAGATTAAAAGCAGCATCTTGAATTGGACCTAGAAGCAAACTGTCAACCAATGTAGCTCATAGACAAGAGGTGTAACATACTGTTTTAGAAGTACACCTAATTGCCTGTGCCACTGCATTCTGCACCAGCTGAACCTTCCAAATATTCTTCAAGGGACGCTTCATATAAAATGCATTATAGTATCCAATTAGGAGGTGATTGGGGCATGAATGATTGTGAGCAGAGCCCCCCAATCCAGGAACAGGTGCACCAGACACATAATACAAAACTGTTCAAAAGTCTCCCCATGACTGCCATCTGCTCTTTAGTCAGAAGTTATTAGTCCAGAAGTTATGACCCAGATTGCACAAAGGGTCTGCCTGGGGCAGTGCAATTCCATCAAGCACAAAAGATAGTATCGTCCAAATCTGGCAGCCCCTCAAATCCAAAGCCACTCAGTCTTAGTAGGGTTCAGCTGAAGTCTGTTCGCCATCCAGATTTTCATAGCTTCCAGGTCCTGGGATAAGTGTCCTATTCCTGTCCATTTATGCACACACCAAAGAGGTTATAGCTTTATTAAAGCACTGCAAACCCCTAATGTTATTCCCAGGTCCCACTCAACAAGAAATGAGTCTGAATCAGCACAGCCAAGGCATGAAGACAAAAGCAAGTATGAAGTCCGGGGGCTAGGCACAAGTCTGCAAATCCACATACGAAAGTCCAAAGTCCAGGCAAAAGTCCAAAGTCGGCACACAGAAACCAAAGTCAAGGTCCAAGTCCAGAATCCAAGTCCCAAAATCCAAGGTCGAGTCATGAGGTCAGAAAACAAGACACTTGTTTTCTGAACAAATCAGGAAACATGAAGTCAAAGTACATGAATAGCAGGGAAGGAAATGGACAAGTTGTCTCCAATATCACTTTGCTTCACATGCTGGGCTAAGTAGCCACCAGTTGATGCAGCTCATCAGGAGGGGTGAGACTGCCTCATCACAAATAGACTCACCAATCTCCATTGCATCTTCTGTGTGCTCTGTAATCTGGTGGAGGAGGCAGTTTCTCCTCTGCTAATCAACTACAGCTGCACCCCTTCTCTGCCCCCTGCTTCTGGCTGGTTATCCAAGCCTCCTAGTACAACTATCCCTCTTATCTTTCCTTTTCAAGCAGGCTGTCAGTTTGCTCCTGAGAGAGCAAACTGGGGCAGCTCTGACACTAATCCAGTTGCTCCTTCGACAGTTGTTCCTAGTTTCCTGGCCTCTCCTCCTCCTCTTCCCCAACTCCTCCTGATTCAGGTCTTCCTGACGATCCTGTGTGCCCAGTTCTTCCTTGTCAGCTGAGCTGGCATCTGAGGAAGCCAAGGCTTAATTTGCCAGGGACAGAGATATAAAATAGTCCTCAACCTGCGACTACAATTAAGATTGGAACTTTTGTTGTTTAGCAATGTGGTCATTAAGCAATGCCCAATTTTATGATGTTTTTGCTGTGTTTGGTAAGTGAAATAAAATGGTCATTAAGTGAGTTGCTTGGTTAAATGAATCCAGTTTCACCCATTGCTCAGCTGTGGCTTGGGGGGCACTTTTTTCAGTGCCATTTTTTTTGTCATCAAGTTTTTGACACCTTGCTAGGCAACGTGATACACGGATATTGCCATATCCTAAAAGTGGTACAATGGGTGAAAAGGTTGAAAAGCCCTGATCTATATATCAGAAACCCATTACATTAACCAGAATCGAGTAAACTAATTTTGTAGGTTTTTTTTCTGTCCCCCAGCAATCTTTAAATCCCACAAATCAAGTTCTAACATCTGCTTTCTCGTATTCTCTGTCTATTCCCTTGAAATTCTTGTTATCTTTATCAAAGTCTTTTTGTAATTTCTATGTAGTAACTCCTGTAGACCCCTTATATTTCAACAGAAGAAAATAACTCACATTTGATTTATTGTGTATCTTTTTAATGTTTAATCATCTAAATCCATTTGTAAATCCAATATTTCTACTTTTTCTTGTTAGTTATACAAGATAGTATCCTATTCTTCAAAGTCTTTATTTAGTTCAAATTCATCTGACCTCATAATCTGATTAAAAATTCCTGAAATCAGTACCATATCACCCTTTTGCTGTATACTGCAAAAAAGAAAATTATACAAAACTTTAATTTTACATAACATTATTTTAAATCTAAACAGATTGAAGAGAAACTCACCCAGCAAATACCAGTCCTGCGGTTTTGAAGGTTTTTAATTTTCAATAAGCAATAATAAATATGGTCAAACATTTGAGTCCATAAAATGCTATATTAACAGATCTGAGCACAATGGAATCCTGCCACTTCCAGTAGATTAGAAGATACAGCAAAAACATCAGTTTCTACCATCTACTCACAAAAATTGATGTCCAGAGTACAGATGAGTAATCTCAAGGTCTCTCCTTAAACCAGAGAGAATTTTCAGCAGTCCGGATCCAGCATCCAGCTTCCTTGTCAGCTGTAATATGTCCTGTCAATTGGAGAAAGTCAGTTTGCCATTCCTCACTGGAAGCATCTTCAAAATTAGAGTAATGTTTCTTGATTGTACTTTATGCTAGTCTATGCCTGAAATAAACATTTGCTTGATTCATATGATTTTAAATCTGTTTTTATTATGCTATATTACTGTAATGTACTTTTGTCATCCAACTCTTTTTATTCTTATCATTAATCTCTTGTCACATAAAGTTTAACGTATATGGAATGATTTGGTGTTTGTGAGAGAAATGCGCAGTCGGTGTCCAAATGGAGTCAGAGATGCTGACATGAACCAATTTTATATAAATAACTATATTTACAGTAAATAAGATAGGTGCATTGTCAGGTAAATCAACACAGTAGGAACATCATGAGGTAAATTACAAAGCGCATACAGCACACAGAGGAAAAAGACTGGAAACAAGGAAAGTCCTCCTTTTCACTCACAGCAAGCAATCACAGCTCAGATTCCCTCATACAGTGGCTAACTCTCTTTAATCAATTAGCTATAACTGCATGTTCTTACTCATTGTCCAATCCTTCACTGCTTCAGCTATTAAATTTTAAACACCTTAACAGTATTTCTCCTCTCTTTTCTTTGTAATACATGCAATACTGACTGAGTGATACATTTGGGTACAACTACAGGGATGGGGGAGAGGGAGAGAGAGAGTGTGTATATCGATTAAGAAGTGGACTGGGAATCAGTTGATGTGGATCAGATCAGTTGATGTGGGTCAGATCAGTTGATGTGGACTGGGAATTCCCATATTCAAGTCTCCCACTCAGGTATAGCCAGGGAAGTGAAGCTATAACTAGGGGAGACTCCCTTATAAGCTTCCTTGTCCTTTCAGAGAAAATATAGGATATAAAAACATTAAGTGATGATGATAACTACAATGGTGACGATGAAGACCACAGTTACATATTCATAAACAAGCATACATCAGTTCATAAACACCAATGTTAAAATGTGAAAAAGATAGCATAAACACAACATAAAATCTGACATATTAGTGCATCAGTAAATATGAGTACATAACTCAATTGGAGAGGTTTTAGAAAAATAATCATATTTAGAGAAATAGAAGATAATGCTTTTGAAGATTATTGCATATCATTCAAATAATTCATGTGATCATTGTGCAAGTATAATTATAATATCAGGACTATAATAATGTAAAAGTTCTAATATCACATTATGCCTTTTAGTTACTTTATCAAATGAAGCTCTTGTGCCTGTTTGTATTGTGTAGCTTCAAAACATAACTTACTTTCAGCAACTCTATTCTGGATAAAAAATATTTCTTGTTTTCCATAGCTGCATAAAATGCACTTGTTCATTGCATGACCAGAAGATGGCAGCATGAAAACTGAGTTACTTATGTACTCATTTAAAAAAACAAACACACACACACAATCCTGTCCTTTGTCATTTTTGTAACTGCTTTTACAATTAAGAACTACTTGCAAAAATAGTTTCCATTTGCACCACCAGTAGCAAAACAGAAGACTAACCAATATGTCAGATTTGCCATTATACTAAGTCCTGAACCAGCAATGGATAATATATTCAAGTGAAGTATATAATTACTAATATAATTCTTAATGCAAGACCACAGTTACATATTGAATTGTAATCTTGTAATTAACTAATTGTTGCATGTTTAATAAAAAAAAACTTGCCAGAGAAAGTTAGAAGAAAAGTATATACAGATTTTAATTTAAGTGGTAATTATGTGCTGTGATTAACAGTTTTAATCTTCCTTCCTTCCTTCCTTCCTTCCTTCCTTCCTTCCTTCCTTCCTTCCTTCCTTCCTTCCTTCCTTCCTTCCTTCCTTTTCCTTGACAACATCTCCAAAAGAAGATTGACTTAATTCATCTGGGCATTTTAGGACTACAGTTCTAAATTTTAAGAAACCAATTTTACTCCAATTTTGCCCCAGGACACCCAAAATAGTCAAAAAATATTGGTCCAATGCATGGCAAGGGATTCTAGGGTGCATACACACACCTAAAACCACCCTACAATACAGTTTAGTAATTATCCCTGTATCAACAAAATTGGTTTATGCCATATGTATGTAACTAAAATATCTGTTTGAAAAGATAAGAGATAATATTCTGAATCTATTTACTAAAACACCAGATTCCCCATAAAGGTAAAAAAAAAAAAACCACCTTGCTATTACTCGTATAAATGAAAACAGTAAGGATTTTCAGGTGTTAAAAAAGTTTTTTCTCTTTCTCCAGTAATTTTACCATTTTTAATCCAGTAATTTCATCATTTTTAAAAGTCCATCATAAAAGAAAAAGTAATGCTATTAGAATAGTAATTTTACAAAATAGCCACCAACATGGACTTTTCTTCTGGTTGGTCAAAAGATATTGATGCTTGAGGCATTTGAAGGCAATTGAAAAAGAGGCCAACTCAACATGACTGAATATTCTTAGTGATGACACAAGTGTAAGAATTCTAAGAAACAGGCACTGGTACAAAGTCCTGGTGAATGATGTTCATCCTTCTCCTCCTGCAAAAGGTCAGAACTGAATAAAGGAACAACAGCAACATCTCAGAAAATGCTATGGGACTTTTATATGAATAATCAGGTTATACACTATTGGCAGAAGAAATATTTTTCATACTCACTCAATGAAAACTGAAAAAATCAGGCAATTCTGATATTTTTAAAACTATTTTAATATCTATTTATGTACTTCCCCCAATATAAGTTCAGAACCAGTTTGGTGTAGTGGTTAAAGCATCAGAGTAGAAACCAGAAGATTGTGTGTTCTAGTCCTGCCTTAGGCACAAAGCCAGATGGGTGACTTTGGGCTAGTTATTTTCAGCCCTAGGAAGGAGACAATGGCAAAACATTTCTGAAAAACCTTGCCAAGAAAACTGCAGAGACTTGTCCAGGCAGTTTCTGAGAATTGCACACAAATGAATAGTTGCGTGGCTTTAGTATCTCCTTATTATAGATTCTTAATTTAGCGCTCTGAGTAATCACTCTATAAGAAACTAAGGAAGAACTGTGAAAAAAGTAATTAACATTTCACACAGTTACTATTATAGGTAATCATGGGACTCAAGCCTTTTTCTTTTTAAAAATATTTTTTTACAAGAGTTTTTATTACTGTAAGTGTGAGAGCGCTCTCTAGGGGGAAAAACAGGTTATATTTCAAATAGCCAGTATCTGCTGATAAACATAATTTAAGCTTTGATATTTTTATCAGCAGACCCAAGATCTTCCAAGAAGTGGAGCATGTTGCTTAAACATACAGTTGCCACTTATATTATTTGAGGCATCTCACACTGTTGTTTAGTGAAGGAGGAAAAGCTGAATCTGGTAATTGAGACTGAATGTCAAGTAGTGTCAAGACTCCACTGTTCATAAAGCCAATGACTCTTTGTATGATTGCATTTTTACCTGTACAGCTGCTATACTCCTGGACTTGGTTCTTTATGTCATATAATAAGTGAGGCTTACAACAAAATGCAGTGACTTCAAGTGCTCCCTTCTGAGAATTCTAGTTACTCTATGCCATTTCCTCTCCCTATTTTCATGGACAGATGATGCTATTGTGGCTACATAAGCCACACCACACACAATTTGGACAATTACATAGATCAGTGTTTTTCAAACTTGGCAACTTTAAGATGTGTTTACTTCAACTCCCAGAATTCCAGACACATCAAACTAACTCCTAAGATTGGATTTTGGCTAAGTGCATTGTATAACCATTGTGATTAAAACCATGGGTTATTAATCAGCACAAAGTGTTAAGCAAGTCACTGTAGCTTACTTAAAAACCATGCTTAAAATAAACTGTGGTCCAGCTATATAAATTCATGTCTAACGATGAATTAAGTAATGTTTGCATTACTTAAAAAGAAAAGGCTAGTATTAGGAAATTTTTTACCAAACTAGTGCTTGACAATGATCAGAGCTTCATACAGCTTCACGTTGCTGATGAGAGATTTTCCATCTCTGTAAAACAAATGTTAATAAGAGACATTGAACTTTTTATAAGATTTTTTTCAGAATATCTACCAATTTTAATCTTAATCTTAATTTTCAAGATGTTTTGTTTTAAAAGTGAACTTTAAAATCAATATTCCTAAAGAAGGAAAACAAACCCATGCTATTATGTTTGTCTCTGTGGTATACTGGCATTTTCAAGTAAGTGATACATTCTCTATATATGTACATATAAGTATCTCATTATATTACTTCAAATAAAGTAGCTTAAAATATTTTACTTTTCTTTGATTAACTTATGCTGTGATCCTAAAATATTTCCAGTGTTTAGAAAACTACTTGTATGTATTTTTACATTCAGCAGTATTCGAGCTTTGCTAGTTCTAAAATATTTTAGGAAAAAATCTACCTTGTTTTTAACAAAGAGATAATAACTAGTTTGATGCTTGCATTTAGCATGGTGTATGAAATAATCTGTTCTGAAATATACAAGATAGTTGCTGATTTTTTATAGCTATCTTTAAACAAAATATTAACTTTGCCTATAGTCTTTATTCCTTTTAAATAGAGCTAATATTTAAGATTCTTGCTGTCTAGCTATTCTTTTCTTTCTCTTTCTTAGATAAGAATTAAACATAGGGACACAGACACATATATAAACATAAACGTAATAGCAGTAGTTAAATACAACTTTTGAAACCCTCCAGATAATATTTAGAATTAGGAATAACACAGGGGATTCAACAACTAAAGAACAATGAATACTGATACCAGTTCAGTTATCTGGATAATAATTAAAATTTGTCTCAATTTCTTATTAAAGAACAAGTAAAAGATTATGTCAGAATTGGAGAAGACTTCAGATGATAAAAGCTATTGAAATGTAATTGAGCATGAGTAGAGCTGCTGGATAATGCAGACAAGATAATGAACTGGAGATAAATGATCTCAGGAGGCTATCTGCTTGGTATCGGGAGAATATGTGGATGAGCCAGATTTATTATCTTAACATCTTATGCCTATGACTTTCAATTTATTGAAAATACCTGAGACACTTTATAAGTGATATCTTCATGTTGTAACTCCATCACAATATATTTCACTTACCGACATTCATTTCCCAGATCCTTTCACAACAGAGTAGAATTCTGATCTTTATTTTATAACGATGCATTTAAGTCCAGATTTTGAATTTCAGAGCTAAGCTTCAATCAGTCTGATTTATGCATCTTTAAATAAGATCATGTTTTAGAAAGGAACAAGTTGTTTTATAGTCACCATCTAAAACAGGTCACCAACCTGGGGGGCCACCGTGCACTAACAGGCCATAGCCTATTGGCCACTGAGCTGCATGAGTGGCTGGCCAGTGTGCGCACGCTCGTGCACTCACTTGCGCTAGTGTCGTCGCTAGTGTTGCCCGGGTGCTGTGTTGCCAGGAGCATTGCTCGTGGCCTCATTTGCAGCATGCATGCTTGCAGCCCCATTCGCATGTGTGCATGTGCACATAAAGGCACCTGCCCCTTCTTTCCCTCCAGGCCACCAACCCAGAAAGGTTGGGGACCTCTGATCTAAAACATAAAACGGTTAACTTAAACCATTAACAATATGTTAATTTCTTTACAGATTGTATTACATTAATATTCCCTGGAACATAATGTTATTTTTTGGCATTTATTTATGAATCATTAATTGTATATATGAATCAAATACTATAATAAGGTGCCACACTTCTCAGTCTCTGGTCTGAACCTCTTGAACCCTTGCACTCATAATCCTTTCCATGACCCAGTGACAAAGATATTCAATGGGTATCAAAGAGAAGCATTTTCCCCACTTGCCACAATTTGCTTTGGACTGAGAAGGGAATTCCTCCCTACAGGATTAAACTGGAAAACATATTTTTTTAAAATCAGGTTTGATATCAACTTGATAACAATCATTGTGTATCACTGATATACAATCAGTCTTACAGAAAACATTTCAATAGCTGAAATATTTACTGAAAAAGATTTAAGCAACTTTGGACCATCGTGTGCAAAGTGAAAAATGCAACAAGAATACTTAATCAGCATCCATGATCTGAAATCTCAGTTAAACTCTTTTCCTCAGATCTGAGTCTACTCACCTTTTTCCTTCAACAAGCTTCACAAACTACATCCTCTTCAAATCACCAACTTTAATTATTCTTTCTTTTACCAAAAATGTCCTCTCTTTCCTTCTCTCCAAACAGCAACTTTAATCCCTTTTTGGCCATCAACTGCTATATATCTTGTCCACATAGGATAATGTTATTGTAGCAGGGAAGAGATAGGTTGATAGGTCTGTCATTAATACCCATACTATCTTGTCAAACCACTCCTTGAGATCTTCATCCTCATATCTTTCATCCTGGTAGCTATTTCACCCTGTTGAATAAATATGCTCTCTCTACCTATTCATGAATGGGAGATGGTCCCCTTTCCCGAACAAGAAATTCCACTTTCCCAGGGCTTTCAGAGTAATGCACCTCACTTTCCCCTGTTAACTGGGGTTATCAAACAAGCCACTCTAGAGTTGTGGGCTCTAGTTGTTCTGGAAAAAAAGTTGGGATACGTTATGACACGTCACGTGACATTGCGAGTTTGACACCCCTCGTCTATAGCATCCTGGTAAGAGTTAACCTGTGGTAGACAGGTGGCTAAATAAATAAATAAATAAATAAATAAATAAATAAATAAATAAATAAATAAATAATCCTGGGATGGTCATAGTTTTATTATAGGAACACTTACTTTTCCAATATTGAAGATGGTCAGATACATGTACTGTAGATCTTAGTGGGCAAAAATTAACATTTTATTTTTACTGCCCTGAGAAAGTGACACTTTTAAGTAATTTAAAAATGGACAATAATATTTTTTAAAGAAATGGGATGAAATGGGAATATTACTATTAATCATCTAATAAGTAATAGTATTTTTAAAACTTTATAACTTTCACAACAAAAAATATAATTTACCTAAAATGGATGAATACCAATACCTTGAAGTCTCTGAAACTCCAAAGTCATTGAGTGTATGGGAGAAGGCCTTCAATAATTCATCTAATCAACAATGCATTAAATTACAAAGCTAAGCTTGGATAATATACAAGAGATTTCAAATAGTCAAATAGAATATCCTACTGAGTGGCATAATAGTGAACCTAGTGGTGAAGACATGTGTCTCCCACTTGGAAAGGTTCAGTCCTAGGTAGGGGCAGATCGTCTCCTAGGGTGCAAAGAAAATATATCTGCTGTGAACTCCACGTGGCGTCAGGAAGGGCATCCGGCCAGTAAATGCTCAGCTCCATCCAGTTGCCCCAACGCTATCCTGAATTAAGGGATTACAGGGTCAAATGAACATGAAAGATTAATTTTGCATCAGTGTTGGATCTACTTTGCAAAATTTGCAGAATCCCTAAATTGCTGCAAATACTATCTCTTGGCTGCTATGTCGTGGCTGTCCAGCTTTTTGGAGGCCAGATAAGGTAGATTTATGTAAACTACAATAGGTCAAAATAGAGGACATTGAAATTTCAGAGCAAATTGTTAAATGAAGTTACAACTGTATGAATTATCCGAAAGTGGAAAAATTAAGTTTTATTTTATCTCATTTCCTTCTACCATATGACATGTAGAGCAATTAGTGTTGGAAGCACAAATCATTGTTTTATGAATTACTTAGCCGAATCATAAATAGTCATGCATACAAACATATTAAGTCATTTAGAACAATAATTAGTAATTTTCAAGTCCTGAAAAATAGCAGGGAAATCATACTTGGCCTGTTGCACTTTCGAAGAAGGGCAGCTCTTGTTTTTCAGTCTGTTTTTCCAAGAGCTACCAGCAAATAAATGAACAGGACTTACTTGCTATGATGAATTAATATGCACACTGACAACTTATAACATAATATTGCTCGGGGGAATTTGCTATGAGAATATATACATACAATTATATATTTTAATGGTTTATTTAATTTTCAGAATAATATATCTCTTAAATGGAAATTGATAAAAATAGAGAACACAAATATAAATTTTTATCAACTTTGCATTGAACCTATTAAGATAAGGCTCATTTTAATGAGAAAATTAATGTATTAAGCATTTCATTATGGATGAGCAATATTTCTCGTTGTTAAGAATTTATTGCTTCCAAACTGTCATAGTCTCTCTAATTATGATTAATATCTTATCTTGAATTCCATTGCCATTCACAGATCAGAAATAAATGCAAACATCTATCGCACATTCAGGGTTCATAAAAGTAGAGTGATTTATTTATGTGCTTATATTTTATTCATTTAGATATTCACATTTAAACCATAACATTGATTTTTCAAATTCTGAAATTTATTTTATCATGACATAGTATATAAATCTTTATCTTCCTCTGAGCTAATGTTTGTATACAGAATAAAAATAAAAAAATCAAAAGCATAATTACTATTTTACAAATATAGTAATAATTGCTTTAATCTTTAAATATCTCTTCTCCCCACACAAGAGGAAAAACAAGAATAAAATTGTCTTCTATGTTGATTCAAATGTTGTAATATTTCATTTCATAACATAGAATCAAATATGAGTTATATGGTTGTTCAGAAAAGTATTATAATGTTTAGGTTTTATCTTTGTATTATTTATCATCCTCACAGTACAGCAATATATGAGAAATTTGGATAAAACAATACATGTAATAATGAAACCTAGATGAAAATATGAATACATTAACAGAATAATAGAGTAACAGAGTTGGAAGGGACCTTTGAGGTCTTCTAGTCCAACCCCCTGCTTAAGCAGGAAACCTTATAACATTTCAGAGAAATGATTGTCCAGTCTCTTCTTAAAAATTTCCAGTGTTGGAGCACCCACAACTTTTGAAAGCAAGGCGTTTCACTGATTAATTGTTCTCACTGTTAGGAAATTTCTCCTTTGTTCTATGTTGCTTCTCTCCTTGATCAGTTTCCATCCATTGTTTCTTGTCC